CTCCCAGTTCACCATTCTTGTTTGGTGTCAACCTTAACCCAATGGTACTCTGGTGCTAAGCAACCAAAGCTACCAACAACAGTGTTTATTGTTCACCACCGCCATGACTAGGCATGAATTTCCCTGCATCATGCTTCACATGCAAAGGGGGAGCTTTTGCATGGCTGGATCCAGGGTGCATTTAAATAAAGTAAATTTGTGGAAGGAGGGAAGAGATACTACCTTCACTCAGCACGTACATTGGCACGTTTTGAAGTTAAATGCCAGGCACTTGTAAACCACCCGGTAATCAGTCACAAAACACAAAACAAAAGAAGTGTAAACACAGTTAAAAGCTGCATTACTGGGCGTTAACTGAAGCTAAGGAGCAGAAGAGGTGGACTGGTCACCTGTGGCGGTTTGAAGGTTGTGATTATAAAATAGTTGTTTTGGGTGTGATTTCATTGTTCATTGAGGAAGTCGTCTGTTATGCTGCTCTTCTTGTTTCTGTGCACGAGGAACCACAATGATGCCATCTACTTTGTTAGTATACCATTTGGCAGCATAGGTTTTGCTGGCATTTTTAGTTGAATTGATTCATTTACGTGTAATCATTTAAAAGCAAATGACTGTTTATTCAGAACATGCGGATCACATATAATTTTCGATCAAAAATCAATTTAAAACAATATTTACTGTATGTTGGGCTACAACTCATTGGCTTGTACAAACAGTACGTGTGCGCTGAGGCCAGGTGGAGGGGGATGTAGGCTAAAGGTAAAGAGGAGTTTTTAATTTCACTCGACCTCACTCTGCTATTCCCACTTGTCACAGACAGCTGTTTGCAGCTGGGTTCAAACATCCACGTTTAAGGAAGCTTTTCTCGCCAATAATTCAGCTATTCCCAAAAGGAAGAGAGACTCAAACAAGTGAGGACTTTTCCCACAAGAGTTCACTGTTTATAGTAAAAACCAGCTGATGGTTCGCTGAAACCTCGTGCAGCTCCTTGTTAATAATGGCATCATCTGTGGTCAATCTGCTCATTGGCAGCGTGGCTCCTTTAAGACCCCAGCAGCCCTCAATGCTGAAAAGACTGTGTGTACATGTGTTTACATACTGTTCCTTAACAGTCCCTATATGGACTTGATGACCCTCATAACAAGAGATCCTATTGGCTCAGAGGGGAAGGCGGGTCTTTAAATGTCTTGAGCCAGCCCTTTTTTTTTTATTCTCACATGGAACAGGGTTGGATCGCCAACCTCAAAAAACCCCACAGAAGTGTTTTTTTCTTCCTTGTCTTCCTGCTTTCGTCCCTCTTCATCGTGGGGGAGGAACTTTGGACCGCATATAAACAATTTTACACCAACCAAGGCTACTTCTGTCACAAACAATGCTGCTATTTAAAAATAGCTTGCAGCACTTTGGTGATATTAAAGAGGAGCATGCCCAGTCCTTCCATAGTCCTTTTAATGAAACCTAGTGGGGCTGGCTTTTCGTTTTTTTTTCTTCTTCTTTGGAAGGTTTATGAAAATTCCTGACAGTCAGCCTGGAGGCTCAACTTAGACTTTGAAAAAGAATGCCTGCTTAGAGTTGCCATAATCAATTTGTCCCTTCAGCTCTGTGAAACATCTTAGCTTCTTTCAGCTCACTACTTTGGTTTTACAATTTGCAGATTCACTAGATGTTTCCCTCGGCTGGGTGAACAGCAGGAAGAGCTGACAATATTGGATTTACATTAATAAAATGGACACAAGCAAACTCCAAATGACTGATAATGTTGCTCCATAACTGCTGGACAGGTGAATAAGCAACTGTTCGCTAACAAGCTGAACATATAAACTATGAGCGGTTCACTGGAGCTTAGACCTGTAATCTAGAACCACGTGCTGTTTGATAAATACAGCAATGCAATTTGTTAATAAGGAAGTAATTATTTAGTTATTATTTATATTATGTAGTTATTATTATGTAGTTAAACAAATATCCGTATCTTTATTTTTTCTTTAATTGCACTGATAATTGTCAAAAAACTTTAGCACGCAATCCTTGGCCACTTTCTTATTACGTCTAAAGACACTAAAGTACAAATTTGCACATTTTGGATTCTTACAATGTTGAGTTGTTATTGGCATTGTCAGAGACGTGTGACAACAACTATATTTACTATTGTTGTTGTGGTTACTGGTGCTGTTGTATGACATGATATTACATGGATGGAAACGCCTTGAGGACTGGCCAAACTGGTTGGAGCTGACAGAAATCCTCAGTTAACACCTTTTTACAACAGCAACCGTGGGGCGAATACAACAGCAGAAGACCAAGTCCACTCTTGTCAGACAAGAACAGAAATGTGAGGCTGCGGCGGTCACAGGCTCACCAAAACTGGACATCTGAAGACTGAACAAATAGCCTGTTCTGGTGAATCTCAATTTTGGAGGAATTTGGCATCAATTTGGCTGATGATGGTGGTGTTGTAGTGGTGTGGGGGAATGTTTTCTTGGTACACTTTGGGCCCTTTAATTTCAGTCAGTGATGGTTTTAAGGCCTCGGCATTTCTGATTGTTGTTGACCATGTATGCCCCTTTATTGCCACAGTTTACCATTTTCTGATGACTACTTGCACCATCATAATACACCACGTTACAATGCAAGTGGACTTGAGTGGCCTTCCCAGTCATTAAATCTCAAGTCAGTAGAACACCTGTGGAATGTGGTCGAACAGGAAATTTGCAGTAGTACATAGGGTACTTTAAGCAGGGTGTTCCTAGTACAGTGCTTAGAGGTGTATGTCTAATATTCTCCACTGTCTTGTTTGTAAATGTGGCGTGCAAAAAAGTAGGAACCCAAGTCATCCAGCGACGCTTGTTTTTGTTTGAGACTCAGGCAAAGTGGAAGTTCTTCAGAATTGTCATCAGTGGAGACAAGGTGGCGTCTGATACATCGTTCAGCTTTCTGTGACATTTTTGTGTCCAAGAGACTTGCTTTCTTACATCTTATTTATATTATTCGATCAGTCTGTAAATCCAGAATGTTTACTCTCTGTGTTTTAGCAGCCTAACTGTGATGGAATCTCTCCCTTCTGCTGCTCCAAGCTGGAGCTGAGCAAAAGAAAAAAAAGACTATGCTGAAAAAGGAAAGGACTGTGTTCTGTTCCATCAGCACTTGGTCTTTTGCAGTTTATTAAAAAAGCTGCACATGATGAACAGGAATAGATTTTGAGATAAACCCCTGTCAGCCTGCACCTGATCTTGCATATCATCCTAAAAGGTGACAGTGTGTCGGTGTTGTGGTCCTTAAATGGCCAAAAACTAGTTGTTGCTTGTTTACAAACATGAACATTATTTTATTATTGTTAGTTTGAAAAATTCACAATAGACATTCTAATTAATAATGCATAGATGGATTACTTTGTTGCTCAGACATATCAGCAGAGTGAACATGAGTTGTTGCAGATCAGTAATCTCATGTGAGTCAGTGGATTTAAGGTACTCATGTTGATTTGTGCCTGTTGTTATTCAATTCAACATTTTTTGTGACAAGATGTTGTGTTTCTGCTCATTTTTTCTATATTAACTGAAAAAAGGAGGCTTTGAAGTGACGTCTACACTCGTGAAGTCTGTTGTTGCAGTAGTATGAGGAAGCTATCTAGTGTGAATCACGGGACTTAAGACACCATGTTAATCATCCAGACAAGAAGGAAACAATAAACAATAAACTCCTCTGGTGTTTGCTTTGCTCCATATTTAACCTGGAGTACGTGCAATCTTTGGCGGATACATATCAAACATGGTGTACGTGTTTTCAGGTTATAAAACTCTCAAAAGTCGCTTCATGTACATGATACATCCCAACTTTTACATATGGGTATCAATAAAAAAATTATCTTATCTTATCTCATCTTATCTTATCTTATCTTATCTCATCTTATGTGCGGTTAGTAAACGTAGAAAAGACGGTAGCTTTGGATGGACGACCACAAAACAGTAGATGGTGGCTTGAGGCTGCTTCTTCCCCGAGGAAATAGACAGCGACATACTCTGCGCTGGTTTATTAACTTTTTGGTATGAGGAAAATCTCTACTAATCTACTGGGCTCTTGTGAGATCAAGCTGAAAATGAACTCTGTAATAACAGGAACAGGACCACAGACAATAACGTAAGTAAACCTGGGTCTTTTTCAAGAAACAGGTTTGCTCAGTTATCCGGATAACCGGAGACCTGAAAACATGCACTGATTGTAAAACGGCACAATCTACGTTTTACCCCCACATATCGCCATAAACGTACCGCTTGAAACAGTTAGTATAGTTTATTAGTGACCTCATAGTTTTTATTTCCATATACGCCGGTGCAATTTTTATATCTTAGAATAATGCTTCATATTCATTGATACTGTAATGCGCGTGTCCAGTGAACCTTCGATAAACAAAGACACCTCTATTTGTCCATTTTTTAAATCACATCATTATCAATTTGTTCAACAGATACGGCTAGAGAAATGTATCTTGAAGCTCTATCTCTTTCCTGTTTGTCTGAATCCTGTTCCGAATCCTGTTCCTTTATGTGTCATAAAGCTTCTTTTTCTGTACATTCCAATTTCACCATGTTGCATTACCTAGCATCTTCAAGGTATTTTTAACATGTTTTTAACAGTTCCTTCCTTGTGCATTATAACAAATGTGTGGTGAAGATAAAATTAGAGGCTGGCCAGTCTGGACATTTCTTTAAGTCAGATATTTGCAGTGGTTAACTGCGAGGGGGGGGTGGACACAGTCAGAGATGGAGCAAGATACTGAATGCTTTGTCCCAAAAATACATTTTATCTTGATTTTGTAAACTGATATGAGTAGACATTGCTGACAAAGTGAAACTTATTGTCCAGCCTGACAGGTGATACAGCTTTTATTTGCACCCATCCCAGCTCTTGGACGACTGGTTGTGTTTATCCAAAAAAATGTTGAGTAACTGGTCTAACAGCTCTCTTTACTGACAACGCTTCCTCTGCACTCTGTTCTCTTGCAGCAAATAACGTTCTCGTTGATGATGAGCGTTGGGGCGGCTGTGATTGGTTCGCTGCAGTTCGGCTACAACACAGGTGTCATCAATGCCCCTCAAAAAGTGAGTTATACTCTTCTGTTTATTCACTATCCCAGTATGATGCAACAACTGTGACTGAACTATACAGTGTTTAGCTTTTGTTTTCAAAAGGTGTTGGTTCAACATTATTGTTATTTTAGAGGATTAGTAACACAACTACAGCCTTTAGATTTACGTAATAACTAGATCTGCATACGTGTTGTTCAAAGACTGTTTTCAAGGTGGTGTTAAGGGTTGTTGTGACCAATTGAGATGCAGTATTGCAGCTTCTGCAGTGTGTAAAGCTGTCATTCATGCAGTGAAACATTCGGCCAAGCTGCTCCCAGAACTGGCTGTTCACTCTCACAGGACAGAGCAGGGAGGGTGGGGGTTAAGAGGTGAGATAATAATAGCTGCGTTCAGGTCTCGCACGTCCAAGGACATCTGTATTACCAGACTGTGCAAAAGAGTGTCTGTGCCCAAAAATGGACACAGACACTGACCAGACTGCAAAAAGCTAGATAATGAACTTTCAAAGAAATGAAATGTAGGAGGTAGACAGTCACCTATCCCCATAACAAAACAGGGTAATAGAAAAGATGATCTTATGCCCCCGAGGAGTTACTCTACGGTAGGTTTTATTAAGAGACTGCTACAGCAAAGAAACTCATTTCCTGTGAAATGTCTACATCGTGTAAATAACTCCTGTCTGCTCAGTTTGCGTTGGTCTCTCTACAGGTCACAGGTGTGTCGCCAGACAGGCCAGAGCTCTGCTCTTTGTGTTTACCTTTGATATATGCGATGGCCTCAGTGTGCTGAAGGCTGACTGTCTCAGTGATCTACAGTCACAGTTGCTGTGAGGACAGCCTCATTGTCACCTGAACTGCTCATAATCATCACACTGTTAAAGCTTTCCTGGACTTCAAAATGACAGACCCATTATGAATGAGAGCAGCTTTCATCAGTTACCTGCACAAAAGCAGAGAAAAACAGGATATATTCCCTCATGTGTGATTGAAAAAAGGTAAAGATCGGAAATTAACATGCATTAAAATAGTAGTCTGGTCATAGGAGTAATATGAGTCTGGTTAAGAGATATGATTGCTGTATGATTATTTAAATTAATCAATAATAGTTTTTCTATAAATGTGAAAGACAATTAAATGTGCAAAAAGATCTACCATAGTTTCCCAAGTGCAAGGAGAACCAACAATCCAAAACTGTTTGTCTAAACTGACAAAAGACAAAGAAAAGTGTCAAATCTTCTCATTGAATATAAGTAAAAGTTTGGCATTCTTAGCTTAAAATATTACTTAGATAATCAGATTACTTATTTAACTTGACTGCTTATCGGCTGATCAGTGAAGCTTAACAAGTCTGTCCCTGCTGAAACATTATCAAGACTTACACATATTTCACATTATGTAATCCTGTATTTTGCGTCTGGAACATTATAGCTGCTGGTGTTGTACAGATTTTTCTCCATAATAACAGCAGCACGTGTTTAGCGTCACTCTCAGCCGCTGAGGGCCTTGTGAGTGGCTCACCAAGGGGCTGCTGACTGAGGGAGAGGCGGTGAATACGTGGTCTTTAACACACTGGGCTAGTGTGACCCTGTCCTCTGAACTCTTTATCCCCTCCTGAATATCCAGCCTGGGCCCAGCACACACCAACACACACTCACTGACACGCTCCGGTTTAGGCAATGTCACATGCAAGTAGCTAAGAAGAAAAAGTTACACAACACAGGCTCCTAATGCTCTGTTATAATGACCTCTGAGGTTATAATTTAAGGAAAACAAGCTTTTAAATAGCAGCAGCACTTTAGATTATCACCAGCACCTCTTTTCCTCAGTTCCTCTGTGATAAAGGCTGCAGTTATGTTGCTGCTGCCGGTGACGCAGGCCTTGTGTGCTACAGCATCTCTGATTAGATACGCACTTTTCAACGGCCTTGTTCTATCTATCCTGTCCTCCCTCCACAGATCAGCACTTGAAGTCAGAGCTTAGTTAAATTCATGTAACTACAGGGCTTTTTCTGTGAAGCCTTTTCAGGTTGTTCCTCCTGAAACAATACCCGGTATGTGTCCCTCACATATGTATTCCAAAATATTTTTGGGCCTGCTTCTATTCAAGAACATTTTGTGAAAAAAAAGAATTAAACTGATCCCCAGGTGTAGGAAAAGCTGCCACTTGTTCAGTGTTGAAGAAATTGTTGTATTTTCACACTGTGCTTACCTTGACAATCTGGTCACCTGCCAGCTCCAGCACCACTGACAAGCTGACAGCATGAATAGACAGCTTGTTTCATTGTGTGGTTAGAGCCAGCTGGTGGTTTGGGCTGTGCAGTCAATTGAGAGTAAGACTGCGGAGAGAACACAAAACAATTATGTAACTTTTCAAGGTCCGTCATGCAAGTTTTCATCTAGATGGCATGTCGTCTCCGTTGTCTTATAAGGTCTTATAATGTCTGTGTTTAGAATTACACCATGAAAACAATACTGAAGAATTTGCTTGTAGCAATAATAATGCAGATTTATCAGGCGATTCTGCAGATTCTTTTTAGGTTTACAGAGCTCATTCTTTCTGCAGACAGCTTTACTGTCTGAGTTCACTTGCAGCCTCCGCCTAAAGATGTTCTCGGCCACACCGGGCAGATGTTTTCAGTGACAAAGCTCTAAAAACCCACTGTGCACCATCTGCCCAGAACCAAACGGCAAAGAAGCACAGTTAGCAAGTAGCTGGAGAATTTGGCAGCTAAAGAATCAGATTTCAGTTTGCCTCAGGAGTTGGTATAGACCAAAAACAGAGCCTAAATAGAGTGAATAATAGATGAAAATGACTTACTGTGTGGCCAGAAACTCCACTCCACTCCAAATGAATGATGATGCTGCCCCTTAAATGCTGGATGTGCAAGTCAACAACTGTATGCCAAGAAGTTCATCATATCAACTTAAAAGGTGATAATCAACCCGATCATGAGTTGGCGCATGTGCGATATGCACAGTTTGATTTCAGAGGACTTGTGTCACAGATTCTTTGACCTTTTGTCTTCCCTTGTTTGACCACTACACTGTCCTGTCAAATTTTAAATACATAAATACATGAGATACAGTGCATTTAGGTAGTAATAAAATGCAGGTTTAAGAAAAATCACTAAAATAGTGTCAGCTAAATGTATCTAGGCCTGTGTAGATTCTCATTCACCCAGGTCATGATTAAATGTACTTGAAATATCTATAGTGGATAAAATATGGAGTTAGATATTTCTCATTTCAAATGCATATGTACCGAAGTGAATATACTCAATTACATTCTGCTGCTGCCTGCACGTGTACAAACTGAGAGATCAGTTCTTCTAAATAAAGCATCTTTCAAAGGGTACGTGTGATGGGATGAAGGTCAGAGGTACAGTGCAGCGTATGATAACATACTTGTGATATCACCAAGCAAGGTCTTGTGAGTGTAAGTTGATAGTGAGTATGACCCAAGCTCTGCGTTAACACTGTCAGCATGTCATTCTATATGTACCCAACCACCATAGGAAAAGTCTCTGACAAGTGATAGTCTGCATGCCATCTCTGAGCTCCAGAACATGAAGATCTCTGGCACTAAGTTAACAGCCAAGTGTTTCCAAATAAATATGGGGAACGTTACTCCGTGCCAGAGACCAGCTAACATCCGGTTTTGATGGTGGTGGTTGGAGTCATACACATACTGGGGAAGTCACAGAGTTGTGGAAGGTTGCAGACAGGGTGGTGACCTTCTCTGAATCATGTGTGAATTGTCACTGTGACACACATAAACAGACACAGGCGTTGCTACTTAAGCCCTGTCACCAGCTCTCCTGGGCGTGTTTGTCAACACAGTGGGCTGAGGTGTGACGTAGGGTGGGAGGGGAAAAGAAACTTGACACTGAGTTGGTGGCTGCTCGACTTCCTGGTTGTCAGCAATGATTGTACAGTGCTGCCATCAGCTGGTCACACAGGAACAGTTCAGCCGACACCATGTGTGGGCCTGACTGTGACTATATAGCACTGTTACAAGAAACGTATTCTGTTTGTAAATTGGAATTGTAGTTGTGTTTAATCACGCAGTGTGGTACAACGGGATCTTATTTGCAATCCAGGGAGAAAACCTGTTTGCAAAGCTAGTTCACAACATATTGCCTGTTATGTTTTTTTTTTGTACAATAACAACAAAATGTGTGTTTCCCAGATTATTGAGCAATTCATCAATGACACGTGGCGGGACCGCTATACGGAAGAGATCTCTCAAGGCTCCCTCACAGCTATCTGGTCCATCTCTGTCTCTATCTTCTCTGTGGGTGGCATCTTTGGCTCGTTCTCTGTCGGACTCTTTGTCAACCGCCTGGGAAGGTACACAATAAACAACATACTTGCTAGAAAAAGAAAAAAAAATCCTCTTGAAAAGTGAACAGAATATGAGCTGTTGTAGTTTAATGTGACCCTTTCTGTCTTAGATATATTGCTTTTTTTTAAGTTATTTTTTTGGCCTTTGTGCCTTTATTGGATAGTGTTAGTGAGAGAGAGAGACAGGAAAGTGGGGGAGAAGAATGGGGGGAGGACATGTGGGAAAGGGTCATGAGCGGGATTCAAACTCATGACCTCCACTTTGGGACTGTAGCCCTGCACATGGGACGCCAGCTCAACCAGGTGAGCTATAGCGGCGCCCCAGATATATTGGTTTTTATAGAGTCTTAACTGACGACATAGATTTTGGGAAGATTTTGCCATGTGGATACAAAACAGCTTTTAAAAATAACTTGTGTCGGAGTAAACACAATAGATATGGATTTACAAACTCAGAGTGGATGGTTAGGGTCAAGGTACTGTTTAATTACATGAAACACAAAAAGCACACGCTGTACAGCTTAACAAGCAACATCAGAGCAGAAAAGTTCTATGTGATTTAATATGATGTACTGTTTAATGTGCTGGGATGTGCTAACCTGCAGGTCTGTGAAGTTTGTGAAGTTTTGCAGAGAGCCTGTCTGAATTTAAATGTTCGGATGTAACCATATCTTGTTCTTTGATGTCTACAGGAGGAACTCCATGCTCATGGCCAACGTCCTGGCCTTCATCGGAGCCATTCTGATGGGTTTTTCCAAGATGGCAAGCTCCTGGGAAATGCTCATCATCGGCCGGTTTGTGATTGGCCTCTACTCCGGCCTCTCCACGGGCTTCGTGCCCATGTACGTGGGTGAGGTTTCCCCAACATCCCTGCGAGGAGCCCTGGGCACTCTGCATCAGCTGGGCATCGTCGTTGGCATCCTCGTCGCACAGGTTGGCGAACAGAAGTTGTTGCAGTGGATTTACGAGCATACATAGTGGCAGTTAGTGATTTCGCTGTAATGCTATCCTTTGATATGTTGTGCGCATCTGCTGGGCAGGTGGCTCATTAGTGTCTGGGTTGATTCTAGGTGTTTGGATTGGAGGTGATCATGGGCAACGCCGACTTGTGGCCGTTACTCTTAGGCTTCACATTCATCCCTGCCGTGATACAGTGCATCCTGCTGCCTCTCTGCCCCGAGAGCCCCAGATTCCTGCTCATCAACAAGAACGAAGAGAACAAGGCCAAGACTGGTGAGTTTACACACACACGCACGACAAAGTTAGTAAAACCAAAACATAAATTAGTGCATTAAAGTTTTAAAAACAACAAAAAAAAAAATGGACCAAACAAGTGCAACCAGAAGTTAAATAGAATGAAATTAAAAAACCTAAATTACCCAAAGGTTAAAAACAACTCAAGCTTTAAATTGTTTTGCAGGTTTGTCCATGTTGCAATTGCACATTTAATAAATCTGGATTTTTAGAGTTCAGTAAAAGCAGCACCTGTAGCTTAATCCATTCGTTTGAGCGTGCATGTTGAGAGCCCACATAAAAAGGCAGTAATGGGGTGATGTAAGATGTAAAAAAAAAAGAAAAAAGAAAAGAAAAAACAGAACAGTATGAGCCTGAAAATAAATAAAACCCAAGTAGTGTCAACTCTAGTACTTCTTGCACAATTTTTAAGTTCTTTTTTAATTTATTAGTCATGTCTTTTTACACAGGGTAAGTTTTGAAGTGACATTTTAAAAACTCAAATTCAGACTTTTAAGAGTTATCACAGATTCCAGGAGGCTTCTAAAACGTCCAATGACATAATAAAACAGGTACAAATAAAAACAATTAATGAACTTATTAAACAAATGAACAATAAATACATAAAATCAATGTGAGTGGCCAGTTTTATATTTGCATATATATGTATAAATACAGCACTTACAAACATATGTACATACACGTATGTACATAGGCACCGGGGCTGTGACTGAAAACTATCTTTACTGAAGCACTGAAGTCCAACGTGTCAAAAGCTGATGTGTTTCTTCACACGTTTCAGTGCTGAAGAAGCTCAGGGGAACCACAGACGTGAGCGCCGACATGCAGGAGATGAAGGAGGAGAGCCGGCAGATGATGAGGGAGAAGAAGGTGACCATCGTGGAGCTTTTCCGCTCACCGCTCTACCGTCAGCCCCTCATGATTGCTGTCATCCTGCAGCTCTCCCAGCAGCTGTCTGGCATCAATGCTGTGAGTTTCAAGGCCCCGGCATTATTCTTCTGTTCCCTCGGAAGACAGTGAGATTCTAAAGAAAAGGCATAGAAACCAGAGAGAAATGTTATATTTTTTTACATCAGAAATACAAGAAGACATCCTGAACATAACTATATGTCAACTGTGTCTGTCTTGCTTTTTAGGTGTTCTACTACTCTACTCGTATCTTTGAAAAAGCTGGAGTTCAACAGCCCGTCTATGCCACCATCGGAGCCGGTGCAGTTAACACAGCTTTCACCGTGGTGTCGGTGAGTACACAGTTTTACAACTTCAAAGTGAAGTAACCATGAAAAGGTGTCACACACATGGGGTTATAGAGATATTTTCAAGATTCTTTATTGCTGTTTTCGGATGTATCAGTCATAGAAAATACTCAGTTTGAGTTGTACCGCTGCGCATTTAAGAAATTATTTTACAGTCAAGTGTGAGGATCTTTACTGTAAATGCACTAGAGTATTTTTCTTTCCAGTAAGTGAGTTACGGAGCCAATATCCAAGCCACATTAAAGAGTATGAATAATTTACCGTGGTGTATTATGTGGTAGCATTGCACTGACCTTTTTCCTTATCCTGGTAATTTTTTCCGTGCAGCTGTTTGTCGTAGAACGTGCAGGACGCAGGTCTTTGCACCTCCTGGGGCTGCTGGGAATGGCTGGAGCTGCCGTCCTCATGACTATCGCCTTGGCTCTGCTGGTAGGTTTTACTTGAGTAAAAAAAAGTTTCAAAGCCTTAGAAGACTTAGCATTTGCCATTATTATGTTAAATCTTTTTTAAAAATCATTTTTCTTGTCCTGTATTCTTATAGGAACAGTTCAAATGGATGTCTTATTTGAGCATTGTGGCGATTTTCGCATTTGTTGCGTTCTTCGAGATTGGACCGGGTCCCATTCCCTGGTTCATCGTGGCAGAACTGTTCTCACAGGGACCCAGGCCTTCAGCCATCGCTGTGGCTGGTTTTTCAAACTGGACTGCCAACTTCATCGTGGGAATGGGTTTCCAGTACATAGAGGTAAGCAGAAGAAAAAGAACACGTTGCAGTATTTGTGACTAGACTGAGCTTTGTTTTGTTACATAGCACAGGATGAGAATGCACATTGTACGTTCATTGCAAACTATTTATTTTTTGTAAATTTTAAAATGAAGCAAATGTAATAAAGTAATTTAGCTGAAATATATCAACTTTAAGATTAGGTTAATTTTCGAGACAAAGCTGTAAGTCACAAGATAAGTTCAAGGACTGTCGAAAAGTTACAAATTTGACAGTTTTTCCTGTGTTCACAGTTTCTTGATCTAATAACAGGAGTGAATTTGGCAATTTTTAAAGGTATCTTCCCTTTAAACCTGAAGGCAGGTTTTGAGGTTCATAGGGTTACATTGTTAGATGGCCTTCCTGAGTAATAGTGACCAGCTTGCATGTCTAATAATTATTTTAAAATACACACGTGTGATACTAAAGTTCAAGCCAACAAGCATCTTAGAAACTACTATGAAGGACAGAAGTCTTTGTTAAAATGTTGTTTTGCTCTTTATCTCCCAGATGTACATGTTAAAAGAAACAAGTTAATCCATCTTACATCTTCACTGTCAGATCATCTGAGGACTGAACCCCATCAGGACGCCGCTGAATGACTGTTTTTATTCTTGCGTCTCTTCACAGGAATTGTGTGGTGCCTATGTGTTTGTCATCTTCACTGTGCTGCTGCTCGTGTTCTTCGTCTTCACCTACTTCAAAGTGCCAGAGACCAAGGGCCGGACGTTCGACGAGATTGCAGCTGGCTTCCGCCAGACAGCGGCCACGGGGGGAGAAAAGCACTCGCCAGAGGAGCTCAACAGCCTGGGAGCCGATTCTCAGCTCTGAGCGACTGTTTCTAAACTTTCTAACAAAAAACTCTTTCTCAGACCGAGGGCGAACGAGGAGGGTCTGCTGACTAGACATAGACAGATCCACCAGTAGAATAATTTTCACACTGTCACCACATTTCGGTCGTCATCACCAAACACAGAACAGACTTGTGTGGTTCTCCAACATGACGTCTTCTGCTGCTCCTCTCATGTCACACGAAGAAAACAAGAACTCGATGGGCACTGTGTCGCCTGGCAAACGTGGAGAGGGGAGTTGAGGATAGATGGGGAAGGTTTATAATATTTTAAAGATATTTTTAAAGAAGGAAAAGGAGTGTCTGCATCAATCAACCAACCAACCCTTTTTTAATACCTTTTTTTCACTGAATATGTTACTGTTATGTGCTTATACTCTGTTCTTTGTGGCCTGTTACCGTACAGGGACGTTGTCATTATCTGGTTAAGGAGCGCTGTAGCTGTAGAAAAACGTTCACTGTACAAAAATACTTTTTGAAAAAAAAACTGATCATACTGTAATGCTGTATTACTGTAGACTTTAGCACTGTAGATGCTGCACAGCTTCACTATGTCTCTCTCCACCAGGTGGGGCACTGCCTTTAAAAAAGGACCTTTTGCTCCACTGAAAAGAAATAAGTTATATATGTTCCTTTGTCTGAGAAAGTTGCTCAGTACACAAACTGTGATATGTTGTTGTAATGGGATGAGGATTTGAATGAAACTTGTTAGATCAACTCTCCACAAATTATACATATTTGTTACTTATTTTATCCTTTTATTATTGTTTTTTTGTTTTTGCTAGAAAAGACATGCTGAATACTGAAAATGACTTTTTTTCATCATATTTTCGGACATAAAAACACAACCATATCCAGATGGCATATAGAGAAATCCATTCTTCATTCCTGTATTTTGACACCATTCCTTTTTAGCAGTACAACAGTTGAAGTTGAATCGGGGAACTGCATCTGCACAGATCAGTACCAGAGCGCTGAACTCGGCAGTGAAGTCGATTAAATAAATCATCCATCCATTTTACCATGACATGAGCTAAAGACACACTCACAATAAGAAGCCACGAAACCAAATATCTGTCTCACAAAGAAAAAAAACAAAAGGAAAATCGGAACATTTTTAAGTTTCAGTGCCCGTCTTAAAACAATCACGCCTCCTGAGCCTTTGAGCCTTATCGCTTTGGAACAGTTTCAGGTCAGAACAGGCTGATCTAGACGGAAAGCGTCTGTCACTGGAGGATCTTCTCTTCTCTGAGTATTTCTCGGTTGAGATTACCTTCGGAGCCACTAGAGTCTGTTGAAGTGACTGGTCTGGGTCTTTTCACACAATCGGGAACGGCTGTTTTTCTGTGACTAGCACAAAGCATCTTCAGAAAAATTAAAATAAATAAATAAATAAAAAGAAGAAGACATAATGTGGACCAAGATGAATGTCAGCCTTTTGGAATGTTTTCAATAATCCTGAAAGTGCTTATTGCCCATCTGGGGTCAAACACCCGGCTGGCCTTACACTGCGTATGTGTCCTAGGAAGTAGAAAGTTGTTGCTGCGGTGCAAGGCTTGTTTTGGTTTGGGGTTTTTTTTTTGTTTTTTTTTTTGCCTTAAGTACTAAACTCTGCAGTATTGTGTCTTTTCCTCTTGGCCGTGAACAGTACTCCAAATTGGTGAAGGAACCCATCACTTCCCCTGGCTGCAAATCGCTGTCAATCACTGCTGTATCACTTGTTGAACCTGTCTTCTCTTTAAATGTTTGAGGAACGTTATCATTTTAGCAGCACTTTATTATTCACGGTGATATTTCTTTGAAACAAACACTGAGCTTGATCCAGTCATTTTCTTTTTTTTTTTTTTGCTCACGGTGTGGAATTTTTGTTACAAAAGAGAGACTGAAGTACTGCTGACGAATTGCTTGATGTTTTTGAAACGGAAATGTGTGAATTTGTTTGTATCCATTGCAGCAAGACACGGACGTTTTGCGCGCATGCACCGGCCAACTGTGAGTTAATACGGTGATATTCGTAGTCAGATGAAGACATCGATCCACATCCAACCCAGCAGACAAAAACCTTTTAATCATTCCATAATTGGGTGTCAGTTGTTGTATATGATAGATCTTTCTAGTACATCATTTGTCATTGGATGGGTGACCTTGTCCATCCTGGAAAGCGCTCTAACATCCACTCTCTGTGCCTTTCACATATCCTCACCAGCAAAATCATGTAATTGCACCAAAAGATGCACTTCCCCCCCTCATGCTGATGTCTACTGCATATATAACTGTTTTATACACATAGATTCACAAATCTGCTTGGGCATTGAATTTTAATGTAGCCTGTGGCCATGGGTTTGCGGTCTAAATACTTCAGATGATGTAAATATGTAACGCACTTCAGCGTCACCCACTCCAAATTTATATAATGTTGAACTTTTTGCAGTCTTTTTTTTTGTTTTTTTTTTGATAGATAAATTATTAGTACTGTAGTGCTGTACATCTCCTTGCATTTAGATTCCTCACTGCCTTCTCCTCCCTGTTGATTTGTTACCTGAAGATGTTGTTGTGGCCTAATAATAACTATAATAATTTTATTTCAGATTTTACATGTAAGGATTGCGTTTAGTAGCGTTTTCATTTTAGTTCACAGAGCATATTCTAATATTTGTAATAATAAAAAACGTCTGTGTGTATGATGTTGGAATGTTCCTCTGTTGGGGAAACTTAAATTGTGATGGATGGTGCCGTAAATGATTTAATGGCTGAATAAAAGAAATCGTGCATACAGATTTGAAGGTTTTTCGGTCTGTTTGTGACTTTTCTTTGAATTATACCTGCACTAACATACTTGCGACAACTTGTCTGTAAACACAACACTGACATATCACATAAAATCCTTCTTTGGTTACTGATTACACCCTAAAAAAAACCTGCTTCTGTGTATCAAAGTTTAATATCTAAGAGTGCAAATAAGCCCATCCTGCATTAAAATGACTTTGATTTAACGTCCCATTGTTGCTTTCTTTAGAATGTGCAGATCATTGAAGTCCCCACCTCTCATCTATACTTCCTAACCCGCTGCAGCTCAAGCACACCAGCTCACCTACGACTCTGCTTAAACAGTGTAATCGCAAGTTGTAGTATTGGAGTTGTTGGGCCATACATGTTCAAACTGCAAACCGATTCTGAAGAAATTCCCACTCTGCAATTTGACTGGGTTAGTTCCTTAAGTTTCATATGTAGGAAATCCTGGAAGTCTGATTCTGTGTTTTTAAGGCTGTCATTGGTCTCATCAGAAGACGTGTCTAGAAAACACAATATGAACATGTTAACGGTAAAAAAAAACTACATTTTGAGTAGAGGTTCTTTACAGTTTAACTGGTAAACCTCCGTCCAAGCTTAAATGGAGCAACAGTAGCAGGAATTTGGAGTTACGACTTCTTATAGTTTGGACTTTATCTGATTCTAAGTTCCTAAATCTTGCACAACTTTCAGGAAAAATTTTGTCTCACAGCTTTACTGTTTTTTATTGATAAAGACATGAATGTGATAGCAGTTTTAGTTTAATGAGAGTTAAAGACACAGGTTTTATATTTTAAAGTGGATTTTTATTCATCCAGAAAATAACAAAAGACAAACAAATGTGGATATTAAGTAGTTAGGCTATAAAAGATCTTTTTGTTTAAAAAAAAAAGAAAGAAAGAAAGAAAATGGACACAAAAGACATCAAACTGAACCATAACTAAACTAAGCAATTAAATGAGCTGGTGTACCTAAAAAACAGGGGGAACATGTACCCTAAGCACAAACCAGAACTTGAGAGATAAACATGAGCCACATGGTCACATGAGCATCAAAGGACAATTCTGAGTTGAAAATAACATGTAGGTTGCGTGCAGTTTAATGAATATTATTAGATGAGGCACCCAGACTCAGGGAGAAATTATTAATGATGCTAGTGCTGAGTCCACAGGGGGTAATTATAATTACCTCTGACTTGTACTCATTCAGCTGCAAGAATATTTTGGACATACAGTTTAGTGTCAATGACGCAGGACATGATATAAGATGCAACTGTGATACCAGGCTTTATCAGGGCATTTAATTGGGTGCCATCTGTGCAGCAATGCAAATCAATGTCATCCATGATTTGCCCCAGGGGCAGCATATATATATATATATATATATCATAACAGGGTGAGCCAAAATAGACCCTTGGTTGTTGTTCTGGCCTATGTCCACCCTGGAATCAAGGCTCAACTCCACGTCTGTAAAATAATTGTAAATAGTGTGAATAAATCTACAATTACAGTTACTTATATCCTGTAGCTGCTGGGAATCTGGGAGTGATGGATACACTTGATGTTACTTCTAAGCCACCCCTCAATGCAGTGTAATATGAATTGGGGGCTCATCCGGGATTTAACTGTGGGACCTCTCACACCTCAAATGCGAATCCTACTAGACTAGACACTAGACGTGGTGCCAGGCTTTTACATGGCATGTAATTGGGTGTCAGCTGTGCTGCAATGCAAATCAGTGTCATACACCCAGGGGCAGCATTTATATGGCAAATAACAGAGGGACCCAAAATAGACCCATGAGGGACACCACAAAATAAAGGGAGGAGGCATCTCTAAGCATCACAGAAGACCTGTTCAAGAGATAAGAAAATAAATCCAAAGCCAAATCTCTGAGACCAACAAAGTTATCCAGGTGGCTGATTAAGATATCATCAATCCACTGTATCAAAGGCTGAGCTGAGGTCAAGGAGAATTAAAATGAAGTACAAGCCAGAATTGGCTGCAAGAAGTAGGTCACCGGTGACCTTGACAGGGTGCGGAAACTAGATTGAAATTTTTCAAAGGCTTCATTGTTATTCATAAAAGAGATTAGTTGGGTGGAGATGATTTTTTTCCCCCCTAAAATCTTTGATGAAAATGGCAGCTTGGAAATGGGTCTAAAATTACTTAAAACAGAGGGATCAAGAGAGGGCTTCTTTGAAGGGGGGTAAACAGTGGCAAGAGTCAAACTGGAAATGCCAGCAGACATTCTGGGATTGTGACGCTGTTTAGCAGTGAGATCAGAAAATAAGCATTCTCCTTTGATAGTGCACTGACAGGTGGACATGGATCTTTTAGGGAGGCAAGGGAGACACTGTGTTCCTTCGTTGCTCTGCCTTCCTGCATTGTCTCTGTAAGCTCCTTAATTCTTCATTTAACCATGACAAAGAAAAAAGGTTTCAATTTCAGCAAACACTGAGCAGAGTTACTAATTCAATATTAACAATGGAAATAACCAACCAAGTCTAACTTGCAAAAGTCTGTAAAGTTCAGTATTGACACACAAAAGCGATATCTTTCTAAACCCGGCTTTATTGCGCCTAAGTAAATGTAAATGTCATATGAGGCAAAATTAAAGTTGAAGGAGGGGAATGGATATATTGCAACCAAATGTTTTCAGTTCAATAACATGCCATTGCATACACCTGTTATCTCAAACTGTTTTGTTAAAATTATAGAGAAAGAAGTGCAACATCAAGAAAATTAACCTGGACACAGAAAGACTTGATTTCTGAGTGTCCTTTAAAAAAAAACAAAAAAACAAATCCACTTTTTTCATGTTCTGCATGACCAGATGTGATTCACTGGCTTCAAAGAAGTCTTTGAAGATGACAAAACCACAAATGATTGAATCTATAATTTCTCTCATTTCCTATCTTCCCTGTCTATATGTCTTGTCTATGATTCAAATTAAATGCCTTTCATTTTACTTTAACCTGTTATGCAACAGTTGTAACACTGGCAAGGCAAAATGTTCTGCTTATTTAACTACATTTGAATGTGGTTATATACATGTGGTTCTGTTGGCTGTTTTGAGTGTTCGTGGCTGCTCCTGACAGTGAGGTCAGTGTAAAGAAAATGAGCTGATGTTAACCTCCACGGATGACCCAGAGATGAATGAGATTAGGTTTATCATTGCCTGAGACATGCTTCACTTCGCTAATGTCCTCCAGCTGTCTCCAAAGGGCAGGGGTATCACCTTATTTGTGTGCCTTTTCCTAGACATCTATTAAATCTCAGCACTGCAATGTTTTATTTTTTTTATTTTACATTTATCTGATGCTCTTTCTCTCCCGAGCAGCGCCGCACACCTGCAAAACATCACAGCGCAATAATTTACCATCATCTGTGACCTTTAAGGTTTAAACTGTTTGCAGAGAAGCATTTTTACAGCAGAGTGCAAACAAACCAAAATCCATTTTGAAGTCCTGGTCTGTTCCTGTGAATTTTAAACAATTCTCAAGGTTGCAGAGAGCCATATACAGACTAATGAGATACAGGAGAGGCCCTGGTGAATGCAAGGATTTGAATATGTTTGATCATGTCCCGGCACATGAGCGTTTGTAGCCTCGACAGACAGTGAGACAGCCACAACCTCCAATGTGGAACAAAGCCTAAAGAGGACCTTTGGTGCAGCCTGCATATCTGCCTCCCCTGTTATTACACATAGAAATCCCGCCCCTTCCTTGATGGATAGGATCAACCAGTTCAAAGGCATGTTTGCTGGTAAATATAACTAACACTGCATTGTGTCCTGCCATTATTGATTTCACAGAGGAGGAAAGAAGGGAGGGGATGAAAGTCCTCAGGGGGCATAAGATATGCTGCACACAAAGTATTAAAAAGCACATTTCCACAATTTCCACGGACTACCTCAGATTCATGCATGTATAATTGTTATGACCACTGGAGTCTCTGTGTTTGATTGTCTCCTTGGTTCGCTAATCCTGCAGTTGTGCTATAAAACATATCCTTACTGTGGATTTCCTGATGGTATACAATGCTAGATGAACTCATCTCACTACAGAATATTACTGTCACTTGTACTTTGGGGGAGAATGCAGATTAAAAGCTATTGAAAAGCTTAAAAATAATCTGGAAGCCTCCAAACAGTCGAGATGTGGATTATGTAACCAGGCTGCAAATCAATATCAGGCAGCTGCAGCTGATTTCTTATACATTCAGTTTCTGTTCTGTCAATAAACCCACATGCAGATGCCACAAACTGGCAGCCGTGAGTTAAATAAGGAGGACTTAACTGATGATGAAAATGAGACCCGGAGGAAATCGATTCGTGAGTATTGATAAGGTGAGATGTATGTCAAGAAGTATGGCTGCTGATTTGAAAGTCAATCCAGCGAGGGTGTTACCAGACAGTCAGATAAAAGATTTAGCAAACACATGGGGCGTGGGTGATGTCTCTGTAGAGCAGCATCTCCAACCTCCCTGTGATCTTGCCGCATATAAGAAGAGACAGAAGCCTTAACGAGTGACTAGTTTACAAAAAAAAGGAAACTTGGCTGTGAGCAGAATGGGATCATCAGCAAATGTAGAAAAGGACCCAGAACAACATGCTGTTGATTTGGCTATGAGCGAGATGTTTGACCCCTATTTGCTGTGGGGCAAAGCACTCAGCAGCCAATACTAACAGAGTGGTGGTTTCACAGGAGAATGAACATCAAACAGGTTGATCCTGACAAGCGAATGTGCACCCAGTAACCCTTCCCTGGAGAGATAAATGTCAGCGTTGGAGACAGCTGAAAGAGAACGATGGTGGAAGAATGGTTAAGGAGGAGGGAAAGTTTTGATTGCTCAAATAAATCCAACTTCAGCGATAGGACTGATTATCTGGCAGGATGGAAGGAGGATGTTTTTGTGTGGAGCTATGTTTTAGAATGCTGCTGAGCATGATGCATTCACCTAAGAGGCTGCGTGGTACTACTTTGATTAAAATGG